TCCGTTACTTAACAAAGACATTTCCTTAAATTAAATTAGAGGATAAAAACGGATTTGACTTCAACTAATGCATAATTGGACAATATTAAATATTTTAAAGTGTATTGAGACAAACTCAATTTTAATGTGTCCCAAATTTCTCTATTATATTATTAAAGTGATATCGAGGAAGCATGAATTATAGTTTATGGTTAAATTTTATTTTCATATAAATATAAAATTATACATTATCAATTATTTAGATCATATTAGAAAGTAAGCAGAAAACTTGATTACTGGTCAAGAAAAAAATAAAACCATATTTATTATATTCATAAAAAGATAAGCAGAGTGGTATGAAAGATTAGTGTCTACTTTAATGTTGTGAAGTTAAACCAATTCTATTCCATGTAAAACTTAAGTGAATTTGCAAACAAAAACAGAACTCCAAACTGCAAGAAATTTCTCCAAATTGCTATAAATCCGCAATATAGCCATCTACTATATGTGTATAAAAATGTGTGTTTCCAATTCTTCTTAAAACTATGTTGTTAATTAATTTTCTTAAGAGAATAATTTTTTAACACTAAAAAAGTGATTTTATTAATTTTTCAAGTACGAAACAAAACAACACGATAGCCACTAAAGGTCTAAAACAGAGAAGCAACTTAATTGAGAACCTCAACTTTAAAAGGAGGTTAATTTAGGTCCCGAGGCATAAGAGAGTGATACCATTTAGGCATAAACGTAACCTTCCTTTGATTCATATTTCGTAGACTTTCCACTGCCCAAAAGAAACTCCACGAATCTGAAAGCAACATTGGAGTACGATAGTCTACGTGTGATTTATTTATGCAAAAGAAATTACAAAGCACGCTCAAAAGTTTTAGTTTTCTTTAAGGTGTCCAAGGTGCTGGAGGCGGTGGTGTGGCTGGGAACAAGGGAGGTACGGCGGAGAATATAGTGTTTTTATCAATGGTCCCGAACGATTTCGGTCTTGATAACGCTACCAGAGCGGCAACCAGACCCGCATTGCCCGCTAGAGTTGGCTCTGTGTAGTTGTAGTTTGTACGCACGTCGTGGAATCCGTCATGCTTGTCGGGTCCAGCAACCATTGCTCCTTCAATCGTGTTTGGATTTTGCTTTTTGCTCTCTCTCCATTTCCATCCTCCTTTGCAACTTTGTTTCTTCTTGTTCTTCGGAATTGAAGCTCCTCTGTGATGTACGTGTTTCGGGTATCGTTCCCCAAAACCTACAACATAACTCATCTTCCGAGGGTTTTTACCAAGTATGTAATCAATCTGTCCCGCAACAAAAAAAAGAAACAAATTTTGATAAGATAAGGACATTTAATCCTCTTTGTTTTCCATCATTTCTGCATTAAGAAGACGTGCGCGTACCTGCGATCTTGAAAAGTCCCGTAAGACATCAGTAGAATAGAAATTAGGRCCACAATACCATCCGGGAGTATCAGCAGCATCAAGATAGTCACTGTACAACGCCGCTAAGAAAGCCGCATTTACAACATACTGAAGAGGTTGTGGATCTCCATGATTCAGCTGGATCAAACCTCCTGTAGAGGGTAGGAAGATTATAAAGTTTTCACAAACAGAATGAAGGTAAAGTACCGTAGACAACAACTTACCTTTGGTTCTGTTAAACTTGTTGAAATAAGGTAAGAAGGAACACATAACTATGTTGGTTTGATTATGAAAGTTGCTCAACATGTCTTCATATGGATATCCAGGGCTAAGAAACAGTCTCAACCGGCTCAACAACACCTAAAACACACATAAATCAAGAAAGTAAGCAAGAGGTGGTACAAAATTCGAGAAAACAGAACAAAGGATGTCTCTTAGTCTAGCTAACCTGAGCCCCAGCAAGCTTGTTGTCCCAGCTAAATACGCCATAATAAGGGCCACCCGAGAAGGCACCAGCATTTTTGGCCAAAGCGTGACTGGTAACTCGATCAAGATAGGTTACGTTTCCAGTAGCAAAATACATCCAAGCACCACCCCATATAAGCTCATCCCAATACATGGTTGAGTTATAAAATTTGCTAGACTCTTGTGAATTTGGACTGTATCTACCTTTGCTAGACTTTGCAAACTCATGGAGCGTCTTAGCACCGTGAATAAGCTTTCGCGAATATACTTTGTCGTCCTTGAATACAATGGATGCAGAAGCCAAAGCGGCTGCCATCTCCGCAGCAAGATCGGAGCAGCTACTATAACATATAGAAACAGGTCTTCGGTAATCAATATCCTCAGGACGCATCCAGCAGTAATGGTCATTAGGTACTACACTTGGTCCATCGGTATTCCCAGATCCGACCTGTGAGAAAACAAATGTTTATCATAACTGAAATGCACAGATACAAGTATGAATTGATTTTGCAATGAGTATAGATGTTATAAGAGAACCTGTGTGACCATTTGATAGATAGTATCAGCACTAGAATTAAAAGTCTTGAGAAAATAGTCAGTTCCCCATTTGATGAGTTGCTTAACATGGTTGAGCTCGCCCGCAGCTTCGTACTTTGCACTGTATTCAATAACACTCCAGCTCAACATGGTCATTGCAAAAGACATGGGGAAGTTGAATTTGATAGCATCTCCAGCATCGTAATAGCCTCCAACCAAATCTTTGTAAGAGCTCCCTGGAAAGTTTCCATCTTCAAGACAAGAATCACCCCTCCATGGTACATGATTATGCATTGGTAGCTTCCCAGCTGAAACATGTTTTTGATTAGGGTTCTGAAACTGAGAAGCAGAACACAAAGAGTGATCAATTGTTGAACTTACATTGTTGAGCATTGAAGAAGTTGAGAGCCTTGTGGAGAGCGATGGTGCAAGTATCGGGTGGTGGCTGCTTAAAGTGGTGACGTGGGAGAGTTTTGACGATGAGAGTAACGAATCCAGCGAGAGAAGCTGTTAGTAGAATTGTTCCGAGTGACCAGAGAAAGATTTTGCGGCTGAGTAATACACAACCAAGATCGACGTACTTTTTCTTCTTGTGCTCGGTCGGTCCGAGTAGCCAGCTCTGTTGCGTCTCGTCGAGGGGACGAGGAAGAGTCGACCGGTCTAGGTCCTGAAGATTTCGACTGCGATCGTCGTCAGTGGTCGAGTCCGCTGCATTGATCTCAAGGGGACCACCCCATGGGTCACGACCGTACATGCTTTGATCAGATCTGCTCCAACGTTTCACTCTTGCTTTAGGGTTTGATGTGGAAAGTGACAGTGATGATGATGAAGGTGACCTCAAGTCCTCAATGCATGCTCACTAGTTTGCCACGTGGACTCGGGGATTTTATGACTTTTTCTTGTCAAGTACCGATTCTAGAAGGTGTCTATTTCATTTCATTTTTGTGTAGCTTAGCAAAATATATTCTGAATTGTATGAGTTCGTATTTGGTATAGCCACGCATACACAACTTATACATAAGAAAGTATCCCAATTCTATATGCACAACTACTTTTTCCAACCATAGTATTAGACTATTAGTACCCAGTACAAGTATTTTCCAATCATAGTATTGTTCAACAGATTTCTATTTCAGGGTAACAATTTTTTTCTATTAGTCTGAAAAATTCTATAAAAATACCCAAACTAAGTTCCGCTAAACTTTTCAATACCTTAACTTTTTCTTTTCACTACCCAGTTTAATACCCCAACTAATTAAGTTGATCATTTTAATACCCCAACTTTCAACTTATAACCATTTAACTTCACAAACTTAGCGGAAAGATAACACCCGTAATCTATTTATTTTTTGAAAATATAATATTAATATATTAATCGAAAAAAGTAATTAAACTAAAAAATTGAAAAAAAAATCAAAAAGATTGAAAAAATTCCAAAAAGAAATTAAAATTAAAGGAATAACTAAAATTTAGATCAAATTAAATTATAGTTTAAATTATAAATTTTTAAAAAATCTCAAATTTAAAAAATAAATAATTTGAGTTTAAGATGAAAATTAAATTATAAAATTTTAAAAAACAAAAAATATATAATTGTTAGTAGGCTGATTTCCTAACATGTAGATTTATTTGTGTAAGTGGTGGTAAATTGATTTTAAAATTACGACAGATTTATTTTAAAATTATTTGTGTAATATATAATTGTAGGTAGACTAATTTTTCGTTGTAATGTACCGAATATGATTTTCTAATTCTTCTATTTTATTTTTAAAGCACATATCTTTTCTATCATTGCACAAATAAATCTGTTATAATTGTTTGGAATTTTTCGACGATTTTTTCG